TCTCAGTCTATTAAAATAATGAGCAAAGCTTTTCAGATATCAGGACTGAATCATAGCAGTGGAGGAAAATGCATTCTTCCTCTTTACCTCCTTGTTAGGGATTTGTGGAATGTGTAAACTAAAAATTAACATCCTCTGTCAAATAGAATGGCGTATTATAGATCACAGTTAACATTTAGCTTAAAGCAGCATTCTCCAATTTGTTCCTCTCTAGGTTAGTGGTGGACGGATTAGAGCATAACTTGATATTTACTTTCTAAAATCCATCTGCACAATTCCTAATGACATGAAAGGCTTCTTCTCATACAGTTTGGTCCTAAGAATTCTGAGGAATAAGTGCAAAACACTCACTCCCCTTGAGAAGTAACAAAAAGCATCTAACTAACTTTGGAAATACTTGGCAAGATTTGCTGAATTATTCAGCCTATAATACTTCAACAATGTACAATTTGCTCATCTAAGAAATCAATTGCATCTTAGGGGTATTAGCATGAAACATTAGGATATAGGATCTTATTTTGAAGATCTAGTCTGTGTAAATTAATTATTTACCCAAGGGGCAGTGGGAATTGGGTTACATTTCCAGCTGTCAACATAATCTACTTAAGACAAACTCCCAGCAATCTCAGTGATGTAATTCCATGGACATTGGCATGACCTGATACCACAACACTAGAGTTTCTCTTATATAAATGCCATTCTCCACTGTGAGTGGAATTGAAAGGAAAAAGCCTTCTCCTCTACAATACCACCATTAACATAGGTCTCCTCCCATTACAAAATCTGGCTGGATTTACTTCAATAGGGCCAATCAGTCAGTATCCTCTATCTCATCAGAATGTAGAAGTCCAGTTTTAGGAGTGCAAGGCAAACGGCACATAAATTTGCCCTCCAAGCCACTTGAGGCAACTTCTTCACTCTGCCTAAGAATCCTTGACAGTATTTGGGGGAGGTGATTATATTCATAAGCCTCACTTGAACCATCTCAGAGCTTAATAAAATTAAGTTTCTTCTCTGTCTTCTAAAAGCAACTGGTAAACATAGAAATTTCTCATCATTATCTGTTGATCACCATGAAAAAAGAATTGTGGATTGGAAAGACTCCTGACTGGATCAAACAAATTCTTCTTAATCAGTAAGGTAGCCACCATCCTGAAATATTGGGTGTGAAGCTTACAGAAATGGCTTCTGCCCAGCATATTAAATAAGAGAAGGTGTAAGGTTATGTCTGTTCTGTCCAAAGAATAGGACATGCACTGTTGTGGAGGAAGAAATATTATGTCCAAATCACAAATTCAGTATAAGTGGAAGCTCTCAAGTATCCGTATGATGCCCAAAGCAACAAAGTGATTCAATTCAGCTGGATCTGAGAAATTAATTAACTAGTAAGCTATAAACATTTTATTCAAGCTTAACTGATAACATAGGCATTTAAAACATGGATCACCTTCAACAGATCCAATGTTTTAGTCTTCAAATGTTTTAGTCTCCAAAACCTTGTTACGTTACTCTTTGCTTAAATTATTCCAAGTAAAAGGTCAACACAATTTAAGCTGAGTCCAGGAAATCAGTTGGTTTCTAGAACAAAAAAAAAAGAGCTAATGGAGGCATTCCAAGGCATCCACTATGAAACCAGACAGGATTTAAAATAGATTAGCAGTATTTATACTGCACAGAAGGATTTATACCCAGGTATAAGATTATAGAATTCTCCCAAAGCCAGTTATCCCTAACTGGTTATATAAATATGTTTTGAATCAGGAGAACTGGATAGAAGAGAATAATTCATATTTAGTATCTATTTGGCATGAACCATCAGTTAGTTTCTCTTGTATTTAAGGTAGCTAAATGTGAGAACAAGAAAGGAAAGGTTCTGCCATTCTTCATGTAAAGGATGACTTCCATTTCACAAGACAGCTATTTGTTTATTGTGCTAAAGAAAATGAAACTGTATAATCCACTGTGAGCTTTGTACAATCTATTCAGAAAACCAACACAACTTACTATAGAATTTATATCCTAAAGCAACTATGGAAATGTTCGACCCAGCTAGTCTAGGCAGCTTTTGTTCGGTCTCCAATCTCCCCTTTCTAGGGAAGGTGATGGAAATAGTGGTGACAAGGCAGCTTCAGAGAACCCTGGATGAGGGTTCTTTTAGTCGGGGTTCAGACCTGGGTTTGGGACTGAGTTAGCATTGATCGCTCTCATGAATGACTTCTGGCGAGAGTGGGATTACTGGTAGTGCATGCATCCTGGCTCTTCTTGACTTCTCAGTGGCATTTGATATCATCGATCATGGTATCTTTCTGGGCAGGGCAGGCTCTGATCACTGGGGGTAGGCAGCAGTGTACTGTGGTGCTTCCCCTTTCTCTAGGGATAGTTCCAGTCAGTGCTGATAGAGGGAGAGACATCCAGCCTGTGGACCCTACTTTGTGGGGTGCCTCGTGGTTCTGTTCTTTCTCCTATTTAACATTTACATGACACCTCTGGGTGAGGTGATCCATTGGTTTGGGGTGAGATATCATCAATACACTGATGCCACCCAGCTTTTATATCTACCCTAGGCCCCTTAAGTCCCATGTCTGGCGACTGTTGGGGACTAGATGAGAAAAAAATGGGCTCTAACTCAGCCTGAGCAAGACAGAGTGGCTGTGGGTATTTGGACACCCCAGAGACAAGGTTCTTTCATCTTTGGTTCTGGATTGGTTGCACTGCCCTGGACAGACCTGGGGGTCTTCCTGGACTCACAGCTCCTGCTTGAAGAGCAGGTGGCAGCCATGGCTAGGAGGGCCCTTGCACACCTTCAGGTGGTGCACCAATTGTGCCCATACTTTGATCAGGAGGCTCTGCTCATGCCCCTGTAACCTCTAGGTTAGACTACTGTAACACACTATACATGGGACTGCCATTCAGAAACTTCAACTGGTGCAGAATGCAGTGCAGAATGCATCTGTGCAGGTAGCAAATGGTGCCAGATATACAGCATATGTAACGCCACTTTTGCGCGAGCTGCGCTGGTTACCAGTGTGTTAAAGCCCTAGATCACTTGGAACTGGGGTACCTGAGGGATTGCCTTTTCCCCACAGTCTCTATCTGTCCAACCAGATCGAGCAGAATGGGGGTGCTGCAGATGCTGTCAGCCAGAAGACATTTTTTTTTCTCAGAACATCCTCCCTTTGGAAGTTAGAATGGCCCCAACCCTGTTAGCCTTTCATAAGGCCCTAAAATCTGGCTATGTTCCTATGCCTGTGTTAAGGACCCTGTTTCCTGGTATTGCTAACTGGACAAGTATCTTGCTCCCGTGTATATTTAATCTGGACATTTTTAACGAATTACTATTTTTATTGTTTTAAAATATTTTAGTATTTTTAATTGTAATGTATTTTCTGAATTGCAAGCCGCTCAGAGCCATTGACAGAGATGGGTGGCTACAGAAATTGAATAAATAAATAAATAAAGTATGCTGATCTGGACTAAAGCTAAAGGTTCATAAGAAGGAGAAACAAAAGTGCCATTGAATCTCACAATTATTAGCAGAAAGGAATTGTTTGTGTGTGTGTGTGTGTGTGTGTGTAAGTCACACATACGAATGCTATTAACAAAATGTCAGAGAACATTTACATTCAGCAAATTATCCTACTATCTCTTCCCACACACTTGTAGCTCAACTAGAATACTCTTGACAGAAGTTCAAGAGCGTTTTCTATTATGCATAAGCCAGCTACAATTGGTAATCAAAGACAAACCAGTGGGAGAAAGTTGTTTTCTTCCTCTTGCTGCTTGTTGAAAACCCTGAAGCATTTTTATTATGGTTATTTAAATTAATTAACAGTCTCTGATGTAAGGCATCCAGTTTGTGAAATTAACTGATCTCTCACAGACATGGAGCAATCATTCTAATGCAACAAGCTGATGATCTTCTGGTTCCACTGTTTCCTATGACATAATCCTATGAATATCTGGCCAAATATATCTTCTGTAGTTCATAAGTCTTAGTTATACATGGCATTTCAGCCTTATCATTAAACAAATGGTTAGCATTCATAGTTGACTCAAGAGAAACACCAGAGAAAGCAGGTTTGAGAAACTTTTTCTGCTCTCTGGGATAGATGGAATATACTATCCATTGAAAATTTCCAGCTGCACATTTGATAAGACTTTACTGTGCATGACCAAAGATCATCGTAATATAAATTATAAAAGGCCTTACTCCAGTGTATACAAATATTAACAAAACAAGGGTGAGAAAAATGCTCTCTGGATTTTATAAGGATAAGAATACATTTATCTTCTCTGGAAAAAAAATTCAATCAGTAAAAAGCGCCAAAAACACAAATCATCCTTTGATCTTTCATATGCTGAATTCAGATATTATTTGCAGCTTGAAAAAAATGCTTCCTCACCATTACTGTCTGCAAGCAAAGTGTAAGTTAGTGCTATGATAGATTTTTCTAACCTATAACAATGAAATTAATGCCTCAAGATGACCACAAATTGGAGGAATCACATCAAAAATGCAAGTGAACAAGCTGCTTTTCACATCAGGGAGCATGCATGTACTTGTTCACTTGCATACTCAGATAAGCATTTATGCTCATATATGCTTAAAATGGCACACAGTATGGAGGCCCCTTTTTCTTTGCCAAAGTAATATGTGACCTAAGAAAAATCTTTTTCCCTTCCCCATTTTGTCTACAGAAATTTCAGCCAATTAGGGACTGCTGGAGGTGGGGTTAGGAAGACTATCCTCTGACTGAAGGTAAGACAGTTTGGGAAATTCTGAAATCAACTAGACTCCAAATCTTGCAAAACATGTATCAAATCATAGTGATACCCTTCCTAGACTATCTTTCTCCAACCTATTGTCCTCCAAATGTATTAGAATACAATTCCCATCACAGCTATCCAGCAAGGCAACCATGTTTAACTGCATGATAGAAGTTAAATCCAACACTTCTGAAAGGTAACAGGTTGGAAGTAGTTTTGAAAAAGACACATACCTTCATGTTTTAATGCTAATTTGGCATGGCCTACAGCTTCCCATGGGGATGGAATGTCCAGAAACACTGCATCTGCCACGTTGGTAACACCAAAGCCATTTTTGCAGACATCCTGGGTCTTGACTGTCACCAAATGCCCCACTTTGTGCTCTTCAAACTCCTCTATGGCTTTTTCAGCTCTTTGTTGGTGGAACTCTACTGTATACAGGTGCCCTGTTGGGGCAATTGTCCTGATGATGGCATGAGAGAGAGAAGCACTTCCAGTTCCTGGGAAGACAAAAAACAAACAAATACATTTGAAAAAAGCAAAATCAGGCAACTATTGCGAAAGTCAAAGGCAGAGTTGCATGGATGCAAGTTGGAGAAAATTAACATAGTTAATGTGCTAAGATGGAAAGAGAAGTGATTCTAGATATTGTCTGTCTCATATGATTAGTGAGAAGCCACATTTTGCTAAAGAGTAAACTAACCAAGCTTTCAGTTGCAACAATTATTTGTCACATATGGATCGGGTATAAAAGGAAAGTCTGCCAGATACTGAATTAGGCAGGCAACTACATAATCACAAAAATTCAGTCCCACAACATATGGAAGATGTTCACTTGGGAATTCATAACTATGCGCAAACCAAAAATAATTGGCAAATAATTAACCTCTATTTGCATCCTTACAGGAAATGTAGTAATTATCCAATAACAGAATAGTCAGATAGGGAATTGGTTTTTTGGGTAAAAAAATCCTCAAGGCATTCTGTCTCGCTTTCCCTTCAAGATTCAAGTTCTTATGTGGAAAATAAGATTCTCTCAGTAACTGAGCAAAGACTACCCCTACTTGCCCAAAAGTAGGATAGCCTTCCAATGGTCAGGAGATCTCATTTCTTTCTCCAAATAATGCCTTCCCCTTGTTCTGAATTCCCTTTATCATGAATTACTAGCCATGTTGGCTTTAACTGATGCAAGTTGCAATCCAAAGAACTGAGAAAAGCCCAAATGGCAAAAGGCTGGGTCACCACCACCTTCTAAACTTCTTCCTCTCCACAATCACCTGTTCATAAAATCTTATTAACCTTTCTATCAAACTTTTCTCCATTTTCTTCTTTCACACCTTTTATACACAAAAAGAGTGACCCCAATTCTTGATCTTCGAGATGGCAAATACCCAATCAAGTTTCTAAGTTTTGCTAAAATAAAAACATGCTTGATCGTCCATATTGGCAGTGCCCAAAAATTTCTAAAAAGGGATAAAATTCCTACAAAAACAATCAAAGATTTGAAACAAAAGCTTCAGATGTTTCATAGCAAAGAAAACAAGATGTGCAGCATTGTAAGGATGCATCTCACCTCTGATATATTTTAGAATAATGTACTGTATATTCTAATGTTTTCAAATTTGGCAATGTTAAGATCACACATAAGATAATACTGGCTGAGAAATTCTAGGAGTTGAAGTCCACAGATCCTAAAATTGCCAAGTTTGAAAAATACGTGCCTATCCACTTTGTCAAAGACCTTGCCCAAATCTTCTTATCCAGTAACTTTTTGCAACATCTCACAGCATCTTGTCATACCTAAAACCCAATCTCTTGCCTGCATCACTTTTGCTGTAGCAGTGTGTCCACAAGGTCATTATCATTTTACCATAGATCCTACTCTTTCTTTTGCACATAAAGACAGCGCACCAAGAGCTCATAAGGCCAGCTGCTTTGCTGAGTCTCTTGCCAGAGGGCACAACTGTACTAGCAGGGAGCTGTGCATCCCACTGAGGTAATGGTTTCCCCGCCCCCACCTTGAGTTACCTTTGCCCTTGCTTTGGATCTCTTTGCATTCATCCCCAGAAGTAGCAACAGGGATAGAAAGCCGAAAGGGCAGCTGCTTAGTTTACCGGTCTCAGTTTTCCACACTTCAGTCTTTTACATTTTTAATCAACTGCCTTTTATGATCAGCTGTTGAGCCATAGAAGATACTGTCCTCATTTCCTTTCTAGAGCGCACAGTAAACCTGGCTGATTGCCTGGCTCTTGAGATTAATCAAACCCCCGGTTTATGCCAAATCCGGAATCTGATGGTACTTTCTGGTTGGTTTTATTTTTTTGCCAAGCACTTGTGGTTCTTGCCAACAGAACAATCCCCTGTGGTGGCAGGAAGCAATCTGCTAAATTATCATTAAAAATCTGCCTTGGAAATACATAATTGGGAGGGGGGGAAGCAGAAGATGTTACTGTAGCTTAGACCCTAAAAAAGAACCAGTTTTTTTTCCCAAAACAAAATTCTACGAAGTCCAAAATTATTCATGGTTGCCATAAAGAGCCCCTTTACTTATCCTGTGCATCACACTTTCATAGACATGCTGTTCCTGAACATAGAGGTTTTAACTCTACAGGTAGTTCTCGACTTACAACAGTTCATTTAGTGACCATTCAAAGTATAATGGCACTGAAAAAAGTGACTTATGGCCATTTTTCATACTTACGACTGTTGGAGCATCTCCATGGTCATATGATCAAAATTCAGACGCTTGGCAACTGTTTCTTATTTAGGACGGATGCAGTGTCCTGGAGACATTGTGGCTTTCCAACAAGCAAATGGGGAAACAGTATTACTCACTTAACAATTGCAGTTTCACTTAACAATGGTGGCAAAAAAGATCGTAAAATAGGGTAAAATTCACTAAACAACTGTCTAGCTTAGCAACAGAAATTTTCGGCTCAATTGTGATCATAAATCAAAGACTACCTGTACTTAAATATCTATAGCAAAACAGGAATATAAACTGTTTTGGTTTCTTACTACCATCTTTAGAGATTCTGATCACTGGGACTGTTCAAACTAAAGTTCTCTCATGTTTGAGAACGAGAAAGATACAACCAGCAATGTGAGTGAGCATTTATTTATTTAATTTATATGCCACCCATCTCACTATTAAGCGACTCTTTAACCAGCATATCGTTGCTCTATCCTTCACACATATGTGTGGAGGGACGAAGTATTCACTTGAACAATCCTCCGTTCTGGCAGATTGTTCAGCCAGTCTGGCACATCTTGCCAAGTCAAATTCCATTTTTGTCAAAAAAAAAGACAAAGGCGACAAGAAATCCAGCGTTTGTCAACTTTGGCAACGTTAAGCTGTGTGGACTTCAACTCCCAGAATTCTCTATCCTGTTAAATGTTGCCAAGGTTGAGAAATCCTGATTGAATGAATGCCAATTCATGAACACATTTGCTGAAAGGTAATGGTCCTGCCAATTTTAAAAACCTTTTGAGAAACCTCAACCAAGCAAAACAAAAAAAACCTACAAAACCATCCTGAGGTAAACCCAAACAATCCTGTTGGAGATCTCTCTTGAGACAGATTCTACAAATGTTCTAGCCTCCATTTGCTGAAATGCCCTCTCTGCCTTAATTGCTGCCTATCCTGCCACATTATAGATTCAATGAGCACATTTTCTTGGAAAAAATAAAGCAAAAGCCTGAAAAGAAGGCAACTCTGAAAGAGATTCATAAGGATTAAAAAAATATGTTTATAACTTTGTTTCACAAAAGAAAATTCAAGAGCAAAATCAAGGAAATAAATAATTAAACTGAATAAATCTAAAGGGCAGATTACTGAAATAAAGATCTGACCTTTATAATGAAGGACATATGGTCACTGTATTTATAGAATACAAATAAGCATTTCAGTTTATCAAAGCACTATTAAAATCTCTTTTGGCATACTAAATGTAGAGATTAATAGGATAAATAGAAATGGAGCAAAACATCATATTGAATGCTAGGGAGTACAGCACAATGTTCCTGGGAATCGTTCTTTGATTATAGTGGTAGATAATATGGCCGACAGACAGAACTAATAAAAGTAAGTACACATGACTGTGCACATGTGAGTTTGACAGTAGCATCAAACAGGATGCAAAAGAACAGAGAACGAATTTCAAAGAAAAAAAAGACTCAAGCATACTACTCATTCTTGAGCTTGGAGCAGTAACAACCAGGGTTAACCACAGAGTGTTTCTTAGGCAAGAAAAAACACTGTGTTAGGTACAGACTAGGTGAAACTTGGCTTAATGCCAATAACTGTGAGAAGGATTTTGGAGTGCTAGTGGACAATCACTTAAATATGAGCCAACCGTGTGCAGCAGCAGCCAAAAAAAGCCAATGCAATCCTAGGTTGCATTAATAGAGGGATAGAATCAAGATTACATGAAGTTCTAATACCACTTTACAAAGCCTTAGTAAGACCATACTTGGAATACTGCATCCAGTTCTGGTCACCACAATATAAAAAGATGTTGAAATTCTGGAAAGAGTGCAGAGAAGAGCAACAAGAATGATCAGGGGGGTAGAGGCTAAAACATATGAAGAATGGTTTCAGGAACTGGGTACGTCTAGTCTAATGAAAAGAAGGACTAGGGGAGACATATTTGCAATATTCCAATATTTGAGGGATTCCTACAAGGACAAGGGGGTCAAACAATTTTCCAAAACGTCAAAAAGCAAGTGTCTCATGGAGATTATCTGCCATCCAGGTCATAGTTATCCCAAAGATGCTTTTTCTTTTTCACAAGGCAACTGGACTTTCTTGTTTTTTCTTTGAAGATGTTTTGCTTCTCATCCAAGAAGCTTCTTCAGCTCTGACTGGATGGTGGGGAATGGAAAGATTTATACTCCTGCTTATACTTGTTAAAATGCCTTTAACAACTCGCTAAAAGAATGCAAATGAACAGCTGTCTGCAGGAGTATAAATCTTTCTATTCCCCACCATCTAGTCAGAGCTGAAGAAGCTTCTTGGATGAGAAGCAAAACATCTTCAAAGAAAAAACAAGAAAGTCCAATTGCCTTGTGAAAAAGAAAAAAGCATCTTTGGGGTCAAAAAGCAAGAAAAGAAGCAATGGATAGAAACTAACCAAGAACAGAAGCAACCTAGAACTAAGGAGAAATTTCCTAATGTGGGTGCTGCATCACTGGAGGCTTTTAAAAAGAGACTGGACAATCATTTGTCTGAAATGGTATAGGGTCTCCTGTTCGAGCAGTGGGTTGGACTAGAAGACCTCCAAGATCCCTTTCAATTCTATTATTCTATGTTATAAAAAAAGTCAAGATGGTGCCATGACAGTAAAGTCAAAGAGTCCCCTGTTTTTTTATGTGTGACATACGTGATGAAAACCCTGTAAATAAAAGCAAGTCAAACTAAGTTCTTTCAACATGCTGGCTGGGGAATTCTGGGAGCTGAAGTCCATATATCTTCAAGTTGCCAAGTCTGAAAAACAGTGTG